AAACCGTGAGAGACGCACACACAGACACACACAGACAACCTCTCGTCAGTATGCGTCTCCTGCATTGCATAGCTGCAAAAAATGCATAAAAACAGTTTGTTTGTTTAAACCACTGTTGTCATTCTATTTCTCCTTTTGCTCTACTAACCATCAGAAGTAAGTTTTTTCACTCTTTTCTCCTTGTCCAAATACTGTGTGAAATTAACGGCAAGAGTTCAAATTTAACGCAGAACTTCTAATGCTCAGTCATGACCAACCACACAGCAGATTACATAATTCCGATAGTTTTACTGGAATTCAGCCCAATCGTTACGTCAGTTCGCGACTAGAGAGGCTAACATACAATTTGCAGAGACAATTGTTCAGCTGAGGACAAAGCGGATCAATAGCATTCTTCGACCAATACTGTACATGTAAAGCCGCTTTACCAACTTCCCCGACTACACTGTCCTAATCCCACACCGTGGCCTAAACACAGTGATGAGGTCACATGGTATCAATTTCGAATTCCCGCAGGAAAGCGTCCGAGAGTTTTTTTTTTTCTCTCAAAACCGACACATAGTTTTAGATGAATATCGATACTCCAAACCGTTCCAGTAAGGCATCACTCAATTATCTGTGATTCTTAGCAGCCGGTTGTCTTCCGATTGCCGCCTGCCATCCAAGACCGGGCTGGAAGACTCGCAGGCAAACTTTTTTGACGAACAAAACAAAAACTTCTACGAATTATTAAAAAAAAAATTTTTTTTTGAGTGAAGTGAATCAATAAATACTAACTGTCGCCTGCCCTTTTCTTCAGGATTTTATGAGATGGTAAAACTGGAGTGAATTCGGCATGCGCACACAGGAATTCGTACAGTGTTTCAACCGTTGGTGCTGCCGGCCCGTTGAGCATGGTACCATAACGATCCAGCAGCATTACTGCACTCGATTTGTCCGAGATCAGCTAAAATCCATAGATACAATTAGGGATGCCACGCAAGAAATTTTATAACCTCGAACTCATGGAGAGCAACCCAACAACCCTGGAACAGTTTGTGATGTTTGGCTGCTACCAGCCAGATGGTTGCCATACTGCATCAAGAAAAATAAATAGCATCGCGCACCAGACTAGCCGGTGCGACCATGCGTTTTGTGCAATTCAGCCCATCGAACGATTGCCTACTAATGATTTTCATTGCTTTGTACTTTAGTCTATGCAAAAACAGTTCAAACACTGGAAAACAGTTAAAAATTTCACGTACCAGTACATGAAAGCTGAATTCGAAACCTTGAACGGTGAATATCTTTATCCCGAGTTAATAGTTCACCCGTCAAAATTTTCACGAGGTTGTAGGTGATACCCGAGAGCGCGGGAACGCTGAATTTGAATAGGCAAGGTTGAGCGTGGGCAGGGGGTCATTGTCCTAAAATTTCAGCCATCTAGACTCCGTGGTCCCCGAGATATTAATTCACCCGTAAAAAATTTTCACGGGGCCGTAGGCGTTACCCGCGGGTACGGGGAAGATGAATTTAAATTTGCTTGGTCACACGTGGGTGGGGAACGTTCCTCTAAATTTTCAGCTTCCTGGCTTTTGTGGCTCCCGAGTTGAAAGTTGCGGACAAGTTGCTGAGGGCACACACAAACAGACAACCCCGTGACAATATGCGTTTTGTACTAATGCTACACAGCACAAAACGCATAAAAATAATAATTGGCCAACGCACCAGCTGCCGGTGCGAGATGCTTTTTTTGCATAGTTCTCAGCAATTTTTTTCGCTACTGACACCGATTTTTCCGGTAACTGCTTCTAGCTAAACAAATTAAGACTGGTCGATAGGACTGTCAGGAAACAGCCCTTAAGACTTCAGCTTTCCAGCTTTCCTGGCTCCCGAGTTAGCAACTTACTCATAAAAAAATTCACGAGCTCGTACACAGGAACCATGCACACCCCGGGAGCTGAGTTTGAGCTCGTCAACATCTACGTGGACGGGGAACATTTCCTTCGAATTACAGTCTTCCAGCTTTTCAGGTTTTTGAGTTAAATTACCCGTAAAAAATTTTCACGGGCCTACACGTGGGAACCGCGCACATCCGGTGTCTGGGTCTGAGCTCATTAATACCTACGTGGGTGAGGAACGTCCCCTTAAAATTTCAGCTTTCCGGCATTTCTGGTTCCTGAGTTAGCAGCTTGCCTGTAAAAAACTTTGGCGGGCCAGTACGTGAGTACCACGCGGAGGGCGCTCATTTTGGGGATTGGGGCTCATACGCGTATGTAGATTAAGTTCTCAAAGTTTCAGCCCTGCGGTTTTTGTAGGTCTTTAGGTCAAAAACCGGTACAGACGCACATACAGACACACAGACACACACAGACAACCCCTCATCAATATGCGTTTTCTGCTTTGCATAGATGCAAAAAACGCATAAAAATATCCAAGTGGTGAGGGATAAAGAAGTTTTGGATTTGGGTGCCGGAGGAAAGAATGCGTGAGATTTGATTTTATGTTTGTGAGGCTGCCATAAGCCGGAAAAATCCTGGCAAAAATTCAGCTGCATAGCTTTCCTGGCTGCTAAGTTGACAACGGGTGATAAAATCAGAACATACGGACATACACACGCACACATACATATACAAAGATAACCTCTGGACAATCTGCGCTTCTATATTTTATCAGTGATGCAAAAAAAAAGCATAAAAATTAAGCAGTTTGAAATTACTTCTTTTGCCCGGTCCACTTGTTTCTGAACACAAGCCAACGAACAGTAGACAGATTTCTCGCCCAGCACCTGAAATACAGCAAGGAATAATCCCATGCATTCAAAACTTAACAAGGTTGATAAAGGGCAAATAAGAAAAGTAATATTAAAGAAATCCCGCATTAAAGCACGGTTCCTTATGAAGTAAAACCTGAACTATTTCAAATCCGTTTCTACCAAGAAACCAAATACTCACTACTATTCCGAACTATGTTAGTCCGTTCGGCATAATAAATTAACTTTTAGCAGGTACTGTGTTCCCTTTCTTTCCAAAAGCAGAGCTAACTCCTGAGAATTCCCGACTCTCGGCATTTTATGCCAAAAAGTACGGAAAACTGGAAGTACTTCTATAGGGCATACTTAGAACTACTTCGATAATTCGAAAACAAGTTCGCTGTGGAGGAAATGATGACAAACAACCAGAACCGTGGTTCCAACATTTTTGTAAAAAAGGAAAAGACAGACTTCCGCCCATAAGTCCGTGCATTCGTTCAGCGCTCGACGGCAAACAAAGCAGTCATCCGAAACGCGCAATGAATCCGGCTTCCGCTCTTTTTTCGGCTTCCGATATAACTGCAGAGGCTGATCATCGGGACTTTGCACTGGTTCTTCTCGAGTAGAATCTGGTGACCGGCTGACCGCTTAACAAACGAATATTAGTATCAGGTAGCAGTGATTTAATTGTCCATGAACGACAAGATTTCTTACTTTCTTTCCTCTTTCTTTTCCTGCTTTTCTCCTCTGCTTCAGTGTTCTTGCTTCCACGCGTTTCGTAGCTCACAATGTCCTCATTTAACCTCAAAAAAGTATTTTCACAGCTGTTTTACACGATGCAATATATGCACTTCGAGAAGTTATAACGGGGCAGACGTCAACACTTCATACATAGGCAGAACTCAG